CAACCTTAAAGCGAGGATCAAAAACTATCTTTGGCAATTCCTTCTCCCATTTTGAGAATGGTGCAATTCCTCGCTCCTTAAGCATCTCCTGCCAATTTAACAAGCAGAAAAAGCGAAAAAATTCCATATTACAATGTTTCATGCTAAAAAGGAAGAGTATAAAAGAATTTAAAATAATCTCATAAAAATCTTGTTCTCATAATCCACAGGCATATAACTTGATGAGAAAATTTTATTTTCCCTCATTCTTGCTGGGACTTTCTCGTGTATGGAATAAAAAGAATGGGTTCAGATGGAAAGAGGGGAATAGGGTACTGTCTTTCCCTTTAGTAGAGTTAGGTACTTATGGCTCCAGTCCTGTACCTTTGTTCAATGGGTATTCTCTTTCTTCCCCCGAGGATTTCGGAAGACATTATAGTTCTCCTATTTTGGACATGGGTGGCATCCTTGGTCCTTTTCAATTGATCTTTTTCTCTAAAAACAAGAACCTAGTCAAAAAGAAGAGAGAAAGGAAATGCTTGTCTGAGCGAGATCATTTTTCCCCAAGCATGCTCATTCAGCTTCCCTAGTTGGGAAACCTGTCAAATCAATACCAATCTCTGCCTTTCAAGCATTCTCAGTCGTCAAACAGAATTCTTTCAAATCCGTCCTAGATGTGGGCTGCTTTTAAAATTCAGAGGAACATGTTTTCAATCACACAACTGGACAACATGGATAGCCTTTTGGGTTATGAGTTCCAATAGAAATATAAAAGCTCTACGAGTTGCAATGAAGACAACAGAAAAGTAAGTTCCTAGCCTAGACTGAGAAGATTAACAATTACAAACGGCTATTTTTTATTTATTTCAAAAATTAATTAATAAAAGGCTTTTATTCTTTCTAGAAAGCACATAGGCAGATGATTGGCATAAGGATGATTCAATCAATGTCCTGAGTTGGAATACCTCCAGGTAGACGACAACAAAGAGAAAGAGGAATAAAGAAGTAGTTCTTGATGCCGTTGATGTTGTAAGTGAAAGCAATTTGGCGGTTGGATTCACAAATGGGGCAAGACTAGTGTGATGAATTGTAGGTAACTAATGATTGCAGAAGGTAAAAGGGACTGAGAATCCTTTGGTTGATCTGAAAGTGGTTATCTGTTATTCCGTTTCTATTCTTCTTTATGAGAAAAAGATGGTGGGCTAAAATAATAAAGGATTTTTTCGTTTCTCATAGTCATTGCTTTAATCGGTGGATAGGAGCTTACTCTGGATTGGAATCATGGGGAGTACTGCCTCATCATTTCTACTAACTTAAAGCCCCAATTAGAATTCTTTTAAATTCAAAAATTTCTCATCTGCTTAGGTGTCGAACAAGATCGACATGATAAGTTATTTCAAACAATTGAGTCAGATTAGCAAGAAAACGTTTTCTGAGAAAGGAACAAATAGAATTCATAGGTCACAAGGGAAAAAGATAATTTGCCGTAACAACAGCATAGAACTAAGGAAATTGCAGTGCACCATCTTTTTTTTTAAAAAAAATAAGAAATTGCAGTGCACTATCAAATATGAGAAAGCAAGTTTACACAAGAGCATTATTGAAGTCTTAGGACTCAGAATTGGTAGTGGGATTATGTTAAAGAAAACTGTCTCGGAATGTAAAGGAATACTAAAGTAGTTGATTCTATGTAATAATCCAAACCATACAGATTGAGGGGACTTAAAGATGTGGCAAGATGCATATCCTGAAGCTAGTGTCTTCCCAGAGGCATTCTGGCGGTGGGGAATGAACATGTTTAGGAGGTTATGGTCGGCCAAAATTTTAATTACTCTCTTGTGTGCTAAGGGTCAAATTCTTGGGTGCTACTGGCTATTTTTGGGGGTTTATGAAGAGGGCAAGGATATTCAAAGAGAGCTACATAAGCAATTTGGAAGCCACTAGGATTATCCTTTGGTGATTGGAGGCTATAATAGGCATGAGCATTCAATATCTGTCTCTCCCAATCTAGTGCAAATAAGTTTGTGACCTTTCCTGATGGAGACGATCTCATTCATCTCCTCTAATGGGCGTAGACAGACAAGTCTAATACAAGAGAGAGGCTCTCTTTTATTTTTCCAGATTGACAAGCTTTTGGTGTCATAGTTTAATTTCCCAATCCTAGGTTTGATTCAGAAGCTACAACCAAGCACCACTTGGAACCATTTTCATTTCTGCTTATGCAGAAATGGCAGTAGATGCAGCCTTGTGCATTCAGTTCGACTACAAGTCACTAAAAGTTCCAAGTTTCAATGATCTGGTTATCAAGTGGTGGAGGGAAGTTATAGCTTCTCCAGCTTCAAGATTGACACAAGGAGAAGAGGAACTGCCTCGCTCTTGTTCTTGGATGAGCACCATTCAAATTCTTTCCAGGGTCTAGAAGTTTGAGGTGGAAGCTCTTAAAACGTGATTGCCAAGGCTAAGGAGATGAATTTGATGCGTGGGTTGATTAGTCTAGAGGGGATGGTGTCGTTGAGTTACACATCTCCTTCTTTAAAAACTTACCTTCTCCTATTAATAGGCAATGCAAGGATTTCATTTTAAATTTTTTTTTTGAGATAAAGGGATTTCGTTTCTAATATCATATGCATTCATTTTGTTTCCAAGCTGCATTGGCCCAAGGATTAATTTGGGGAAATCTGAACTTATTCACTCAAGCATGGTGTGAAGGGAGGAGTCTTGCAAGAATTTCAAGATGTAAGATCACATCTCTTCCTCTGAGAAATACTTGAGTGTGTGCTAGGCGCTAAATTTAAAGGAGTGGGCAGTGGAAGCAGCAGTTTGCTATCAAAAAGGATCCGGCTATATTTCTCTAATCCAATTCCAGCCACCATTAAGAATTTCGAAGCCATATAGTGTCTTCTTTTTAGGGTGACACTGGGAGCCAAACATCTAAGATGTTAAACAGCCATATTACAAGAGCTCTCCTGCCATCAGGTCTTTGGCGAGTTTAAGAATACCTTCTTTGAGAAGAAATTAAAGGACGAGGCCTTTGTATCAGCTTGTTATTTGGTAGTAACTGGTTAAGGGGAAAGAAAATGGATATACAAGAATGATTTGGGCGAGGAGGATTACATCAGGCTGCTACTTTGTCTTGCTTCCTTCCAAGTTAATCCACTCAAGCTGCTACTTCGTCTTGCTTCCGTCCAAGTTAATCCACCCAGAGAATTTTTGTTTTTTTTCCAAAAGAACAAGTATAAAATGTATTAACAGCACCAAGAGGATGCAACCCATAAACAAAATTATTTAAATTTCAGTTAATCTATCTATAATATACCCAAAATCTTCCTTACTATACATATCATGCCCAAGATAAATGAAACCAAAATAGTGAAACCATCTATCTCTAATCTTTAACCAGTCACTAACCACCCTATGAAAAGTCCTATTTCTTTCCTTCCAAATAACCCAAAAAACAGTTAAAGGAATCATATTACTAAATCTTTTCTTTTTACAAATGCCCTCCCACGCCTAAATCTCACCTCTAACTGATCCTGACATCACCCGAAAGTCCATAATCATAGTCCAGATAGAATGCGCCGCAGGGCACCATAAAAGAAGATGATTGCAAGATTCCGCCTCCTGCATACACATATAACACCCATTCACCATCACTCTGTCTCTTCTCATAAGGTTTTCAATCATCAGCATGCGTTCTATGCATGCCTCCCAAGCAAAAAAGGTAACTTTTGGCAGAGCCTAGGCCTTCCAGATCTGTCTGGCAGAGAAATGACTACCATCACCCTCTCCCATCAGAAGCTCATAATAGGATTTGACCGAGAACATCCCCTTCTTCCTACATTTCCAAACAAGATGATCCCTCTCCATATTCATATTCACCCCATAAAGCAAGTGGAGAAGCTCAGCATACTCGGCGATCTCCCAATCGTTGAGATTTCTAATCACCTCAACACACCATCCCCGAACAGCACTTTGATCCCCATATGCCTTCTCCACATAAATGCCTTTCTCCATAGCAATAGTAAAAATCTAAGGAAAGCGGTTTTTAAGTCTACTCCCCTCAACCAACTCATCAAGCCAAAACTGGACTCTATTCCCCCTCCCAATTTTCCACTTAACACATTCAAGTATTTTATCATACCCCATACTGATTTTCCTCCACGACCCACCACCATGAGAACTACCTCTACCACCTAGGGAAAATGAACGGATTTGGAACCTTACCCCCTAAGATTTAATTCTCAGTTAAGCCCTATATCACCAAATTACTCGTCCTTATTGGACTATTTTCGCCTTTCCTTAGAAGCAAATTAGGATGTTAGTTATCATGTCCTAAGGTTCGTTCTTTCCATACTATCCAAAGTATAGTTAGTGGTATAAGATTTACAATTTTCCTCCCCTTACTAATTCCCTCCCAAGCCCATAATTCATCTCTCACTGAACCCCGCCAGCTAACACCCAACCATAGTTCATAAATTATAAACCACCGGATACCATATAAGAATGTGACTATAAACCGCAACTCACCTCTTTTACATGGGACATTGTAATTCCTAACCTTTTTTTACAGAAGAAGAAGATTTATAAGATAAAAGGAAAAAAATACAAAAAAGGAAGAAAAAGTATCCTCCAGAAGTTACAGATTATAGTTAGCAAAAAAATTAGAAATAGATAAGATACATAAAGAATGTACTAACATAAGGACCAAAAACAATACCCCAATTATGATGAAGTTCAAAAATACGTAGATTCGAGAATTTTCCATGCGCCTTGACCATAAAGATGCCAAAAAAGTCATATTCTTCCATGTCTCATGGAAATATGTACTTTGGTTGCGATTCCTAACCTTACTAAACTGTTTGATATTTTTAGTAAGCATTAGTTTCCCCTTCCAGTCCCAAGTTTTTCTTCTCTACATGGAGGATTGTGTGAATAGTAAAGAGCATGAAGCCTCACAAAGTGGAGCTCTCTCTACTATCTGTTGATTAGAATTTAGACCAGGATATTCAATGACCATATCTACCCTGATCATCTTCATGTGATAGATTGGATTGTGTGACCTCATTGTGGATCAAGGTGCATGGTTTCTCTTAGAGGTTATCCTTGTCT